CAGTTACAGGTGGTACAACGGCAATTTGTGCTTTAAATGGACTTGTAGGTATTTCAGAAGTTACGACTTCGACTTGTACATCATCATCTCGTATTTCCAAAGTGTCTTCACCTGAAATTAAATAGCTTCTTGCTTGGTCTCTTCTGACTTCAATGTCACGTTTCCATTCCTTAATCATTCTTGCATGATGAGAATGAGCTATTACAAATGTATTCGAATCATCTACGATATGATGGCCATTCCTGTTCAATATATTTTTGTACTCTAAATAAAACTTAATATAATTAGCATCGAATGGAAATAAACTCACCATTTAGTAATGCAAATCTGTCCGTGTTATCAATTACTCTCAATGCGTCGCACACATAACGCTGTTCATGAGTACTGAGAGATGCAGAATAAGGTTTAGTGGTAGTCTCGTTTACCAACGAGAGCATTTGTAAGAGTTCTACCGAGTCATCTTCCGAATTATTTTCATCTTCTTCATAGCTATTCGGAATCAGAATAGGATTAATGTTGGTCTCCGTTTGTGCTTCGGCAATAATTTGATGGAGGTGTTCGTCTCGATCATTTTTACATTCATGCAAACGTTGTATATTTTCAATAATCTTGAACGCACTGGCAGAGATCGATGATTTTTGAGCTTCCAGTGCTTCCGCCCATGTCTGATTCAGTGCACACAGGTCGTGTACTGACCTCCATGGCACAAATAAAGTTAGCAATGCACGACAATAACGTTCGTATGTTTCTTCTCGCTCACGACGAGGTATTTGAGGACCAAGAAGAACTGACACAACTGGAATAGAGCGTTTAATAATGATATGTGATAATGATTGTGGATGTGCACTTGCAAAAGTGTGTCGTTCATTCATCTTTGTCCCTTCTGTACACAATCGTTCACCTTCACGTCCATTGGTATTTTTTAGTAAACGGCGATCTGATTTGTTGATTATCTTTTTGTGACAGTGACTAACAAAATCATACAGGCATAATGCAGTTAGATCTTTTGATCGATACTGATAGTCAAGACGAGTATTCACCATGACGTAACTATTACCGTTTTTTGTTTGTGTTGGTTCCAACAGAAACTGTTCTTCAGTTTCCTTGATCTCTTCTTCTTGATCTTCATCGAAGCGAAGTGACATCTCTACAAAAAACGGATGTTTAATATTTGTACAATAATTTTAAAATTCTTTTACCATCTGGTTCCTCTTCGTCAAATCTTTTTTGATTTCGCTGTGCGTTCACTAGTTCGGTTTGCAGATAGTTTTCAATCGAAATAAGAAAAAGATTTCTAAATGTATGTGTAGTGTAATGGTCACCATAGTTCATTAGGTATGACGCCACTTGAACACCGGAAACTCCTTGATGTGAAGCAATCATATTATAACAGTGTAAAATAAGTTTGCGCGACTTTTCAACAGCGTCGTCGATCCCGTTTGCCGGTTGCGACTGCTCGATGGATTGGACTCCTTGTTGTGCAAGAGCAAACATATCATAGAAAGCCAGACTTGATTTTGTTCCCTCTACTGAAAGGAGGGTCATACGCCGAAATGAGGTGGGTTCGTTCGTTTGTTCACACCGAACAAAAAAAATGTTCTTTTGACCTTCTGCAGATTTCTCAGTGAAGTAGCAGAAAGCAATCTGCACAATTCCAGCCAATCAGAGGTTTCTCCGATATGAGCTCTTAGCCGATGGGATTTCGCGAAGCCGAAATCGAGCCAATTAGAGGTTTTCTCCTGTGGGCTCTTAGCCAATGGGATTTCGTCGAGACGAAATCGAACCAATCAGAGCTTTTTCGATATGGGCTCTTAGCAAGGGGGAAACAGCGGACTTCAAGACTTCAAGACTTCAAAAGACTTCAAAAGACTTCAACAGACTTCAACTGCAGTGACTTCATATTTTCACAAGACTTCAGAAGAGTTCTAAAGAGTTCTGAAGATTTCATAGGACTCCAAATGACTTCACAAGACTTTATAAGACTTCGTATGACTTCATGAGACTTCATGAGACTTCATGGGACTTCAAAAGACTTCGTTAGACTTCACAGACTTCGTGAGACTTCACGGACTTCATGAGACTTCATGGATTTCATGAGACTTCAGAGACTTTGTAGGACTTCTTGAGACTTTATAAGACTTCATAAGACTTCATAAGACTGCATAAAACTTCACAAGACTTCATGAGACTTCAAGAGACTTCAAGAGACTTCATGAGACTTCAAGAGACTTCATGAGACTTCATGAGACTTCAAGAGACTTCAAGAGACTTCATGAGACTTCATGAGACTTCATGAGACTTCATTAGAATTCAAGAGACTTCAAGAGACTTCATGAGGCTTTATGAGACTTCATTAGACTTCATGAGACTTCATTAGACTTCATTAGACTTCATGAGACTTCACAAGACTTCACAGGACTTCAAGAGGCAGATTCCATGCGTATCAAAAAACCTTATAGA